TCTGGTAGTTCTTCTATTCCTTGTCCTCGTTCTGGTCCTGTGGGCAGAGAAGAAGACCGGGAATCTGGGGTGCTTAGCCTCCCAGCTGGTCCCCTGGTCCCTTTGCTGGATCTGCTGGTTTCCCAGTTTCGCTGGTGGGAGAGAAGACCTGGAATCTGGGGTGCCTGGCTCCTGCCGGGATTGGAAGCTCTGTGCAGTTGCCAGGCGATCCCCAGGCACTGGAACCCAGGCCTGGATGCGGGGCCTGTTTTACCTGGTCCCGCCGGAACAGCTGGTCCCTAAATTTTACTTTTGTAGGGTTCTTTTTCTTCTTTCTATGCAGGACATTTTCATTTTTCAGTATACTTAGTCACAGCTTCAACATGTGTGCTGTGTGGTCTATGTTTAATGCTCTTGGGAAGGGTTTCTCTGTAATTTGGGTTTCCTGTTTTCACAATGCTTTGTAATTTCCTTTGTTTAACTCATTAGTTCATCTCAGATTTATTTTCATATGAAAATGCAGTATTATAATCATATAGATAACTGTCTTGCCACTTGTGAAGTTTTTTTTCTTAAAATATAATTTCAATATGTAGGTAACCTTGGCTAGTAGAACAGATGCTCACCTCAAATTTCACACAAACACCTGTTTCTGTCTCTAGAATGGTAGAACTAAAACCTAGCCAGTTGTTACAAAGTATATATTGCTTAATGTATCTTTAACTGACACTTTGAAGGGTCACCTCAATTGTTTGAGAGGAACAAAATATCACTATCCCTTTAAGGAATTGGGCCCTCTAGGAGACTTCAGTTTTCACAGAATACATTAATAAGACAAAAGCACTCACATGTATTTAATATAAATCTCCAGTGAGGCAGGAGCCACCATAAGGAAATGGAGCACCAAAGAAATAGAGGTCACTACTTAAAGTTGGACTGAGAATTGGACATGGTGGAAATGTGACCAGTCAGGTGTCTGTGAAAGGACAATGATTTCAGAGGACACTCATAAGATGGAGACTTGCAAAGATTTCTCTTAGCCTATGGTCAGCTGATGGAATGTCCTTCATCAGCTCACGTGAGCACACTCAGCCTGTAGTGCAGTTTTACAAGGCTGTGCAACTATGAGGAGGTAAATCCCAGTACTCAAGGGATTTGCTAGATGTCAGAATGCCTTGAGATGTCAGAGCCCAGCTGCTTCTGCTCTGACCACTCCCTGTTTGCTTCGTGATCCACCAAGAAGTGAACAGCAACCTCACATTCTTGCAACAACACAGCCATGCACCACCATGCCTTCTCATCATGATGGGTTGTATTGCCTCAAATCATGAGCCAGAATAACCTTATCTTCCCTGTTTCTTGTCGGATATTTGGTTCAGTGGTAAGTTAAGAGTGAGCTTCAATCCTCATTCTGTGGTGTTAGTAGAGCTATTTTACTTCTGGTATATGGCCAGCATCTTCCCCATGTGGCTCAACTTCATATGGAAGGTCTTTAGCACAGACTAATCTATTGGCAGAAGTTTTCCTATCCTCTAGTTGCTCTCAAATAAACACACTGACGTTTATATTATAAATGCTCGGCCAATAGCTCAGGCTGATTACTAACTAGCTCTTACATTTTTAAGGTAACCCATATTCCTCATTTTCACTGTGCCACATGGGTGGTTACTTTATTAACAAGACACATCATCTCGTGCTCCTCATGTTGTCTGGCTGCAACTCCAGGCTTCACCCTTCTTCCTTCCAGCATTCTCCTAGACTAGCCTTTCTGCCTAATCTTATTCTGTTCAGATACTGGCCAGTCAGCTTCTTTATTAACCCAATCACAGAGACATATATTCAGAGTGTAAAGGAATACTATTCCACCGCAGTAATCCTTATGCCAAAGTGGTGCATGTTGGACTCGGTGTTCTCCTACCCTTCTTTTTGGAGTCCCATCTTCTATGTGTTCCAGCCTCTCCTGTCCCTCCTCCCCAGACCTATAGCAGCCTTGGGTGAGGCACTGCTTGCTGTGTGTCACTCCATCATGTCCCACAATTCACCGCAGCTCTCCGACTCCTCCCACCCAGAATTCTCCCACCCTTTCTCACACACACAATTGTCATGTTGATTTCTGGGTTATATCATGCAGGCAAACACTGTTTTTTTGTTTTGTTTTATTGTAGTTATATATTAGTGTGGAAAATAGATTCTTATATTAACTTTATTTTTGAAATAATTGTCTCAATCTGTTACACTAATCCCTGTCTGCTAGCTTCTTTATTATAATCACTGAGGTGTAAAAAGTGAACTACCCAGTTCATGGGACTTGTCTGCAACACAACCTGTCACCCGCTTTAGGCTTGTTAGTGAGCCCTTACCAGTGTTTTAAAATTGGCTTTGCAGCATATCCTTTCTTTTGGAATCTGTGTACAAGGAAAGCTTGGGTATATGCCTTGGGTTATTAAGAATATTTACCTTGCTGTGTTCCATTGTAAGTTCAATGGTATTTGAGGCTATTTTCCTCATAATAAAGCACCTGGTCTTCACTCTGTAGTAGAGCTTATTGTACAATTGGAGAACACCTTTTTGATCAAATCATCTCTCAAGCCTCACCATCAGGGACCATGTGGTACTTGCTTCCTTCTCACCCTTATCCTCTGACAGCTCCCCACAGGACTGGATTCACCTCACTTGGGAGAATGAGGCGCATTTCTGGGGGTTTATGAAGGTATGAAGCATGGGGGCCATATAACATGAACGTAGGTATGCAATTACTTGGGCTGTGAGATCCAGTCTGAATAAAAGCTGGGGAAAGAGAAAACAGGCATGCATTCTTTCTCCACTCCCTGGCCAACCATGATATGAACTGAAGTGCTTCTCATACACCCCACACGAATCAAAACAAGTGCTTACTCAGTTGTAAGTCATTTCCACCAGACATTTTGGTCAGAGCAATGAAGTAACACAGACATCCAATTCTTCTGTCCCACTGTTGCCTTTGCTAGGTCTAATTTATTGTAGCAGACACCATTCTCCTTTAGTATATTCCTAGATTTGTCCCTTTGCAATAGACAGTGTCAACCCTACTTTCTTCAAATTCAGGTGTGAATGCACTACCCCCCCCCCCGCTGGTCTCTGTGTTCCAGTTTGTTTCTGAGGGGTGATGTAGTAGTACAACCACCCATGGCTGCGTAACACCATCACTTGAACAGGACATCCAGACAGTACGAGCCTACTGCAAGGGAAATCTATTCATTCAATAGGACCAGCAAACAAAAATGGGGGATGCTGGATCTCAGCTGACTTTCCTCTTGCCCTACTTTTATTCCATTCAAACCTGCAGCTTATGGAGAGGGTGCCACTCAAAGACAGTGTGGGTCTCCTCCCCTTCAGGTCTCTTTGAGAACACATTCAACTCACACCTTGGCATGCCTCAATAGCAATCTAAGTTGACAACAGGGTTACCCATCAGAGGAGAGTTTCCTAGGCACCACGGTCCCAGATGAATTCAGCATCTCACAGGACAGGGCAGTATCAGGATTCAGGGCTTGGTCACCCCTGCATGGTACAATTAGGACTCTGAGCACCTTCCCTTTACTGACCTCTGGGCTGGAAGCAATCTCAACTCCCAAAGCCCAGATATGGGGCAGTGTCTGGAGACACCTTAGGTCCAGGGGACAGATGTCAGGGATGAATGCTGCTGTTCACCTGTGTGCTCACCCAGGTCACCCCAGGACGATGAAGGATCTGTGACCCAAATGCCCTTGGTGCCCACTTCAGGAAGCCTGCTCCAGGCAGAGGCCAGGAAGGGCCTGGCTAGCAGTTGAAGCCACCATAGATGTCCCTATGTTGTCTCATCACCCCAAGTGTTCCTACCCAGAACAAGGGTAAGCATGCCTAGGTCTCACACCTGCCTTCTCCCTGTGTTCCTTTCTCTACTGGCGTGGGCTGCTGCTCTGTTTTCTGTCCTCAGAGAATCCCCAGAGTCATTGTGAACTTGAGTCCCAATGCTGGTCTCACAGCCTGCTGTTTTGATTTGTAGGGTTTTTCCTTCCCAAGATCTTAAACATATTTTTCTATATTTTCTACAAATACTATAATTAAAAAAACAAGCTCTCAGCTGGTCAGTGGGGCTCCTTTCTTGAATCTCAGCACTCAGGAAGCAAGAGCAGGCAGATCTCTGTTAGTTCAAGGTCAAACTGCTCTACAGAACAGAACAGTCATGACTACACAGAAAAAGCCAGTCTTGAAACACACACACGCACACACACACACACACACACACACACACACACACACACACACACACACACACACACACACTCAAGGCCTCATGTATCCCAGGATGGTTTTGAACTTACTGCAGACCCAAGGATAACCTTAAACTTGTGATTCTCTGACCTCCACATCTCATGTGCTAAGATTCTAGCATGTGCTCACACAGCTGGTTCATCCCTGATCATACAAAACTGAGGGATCGACTTTGAGCACTGTGTATGCTAAGCCAGCTTGTGACCAACTGAGCTAAGAGCCCAACCCAATAAGGGTCTTTCTAGATTCACTCTGTAAAGTTACAGCTTCCATCTGCTGACACTTTCTTCGACTGAATTGTGTCAGAGGGAGTGCCTTTCTTTCCTGTGGATCAGCTGAAGGAAGGACATATTCACAGTACCTGGCCTCTGTCCCCTCTGTGCTGCTCCCTTGACATCTGGTGTCTTCATGTGCAAGGACACTTTCTCCCTCTGGCCTCTAGTGAATTAGTGTGGCTCCTGTGTTGACTCTGTCAGTCACTGACCACTCTCCATCCCTCCAGGTTAAGCCACAGCTTCTTATCCTATGCCCAGCACAGCTTCACCCAGCTCCCACACAGCCTCCCTGTTAGACCTTCCCCAGGTACCCTGCTGCTGAAATGCACCAGGAACCATCCCCCAGTGAGGAAATGTCCTGAAGATGTCATACAGTGCTCCTGTAATATTTGGGGGTCAACTTCCAGTTGATGGTTTAGAACCCAGATAAAGACAGACCAGGCAAGCACAGAGTTTAAGTACAAGCAGTAAGTTTAATTAGTTAAAAACAAGTTTGGGGTGGGATTAGGGTCAGCATCACTTCTGGGAGCCAAGTCCTGAGCACGTGGGAGAAGTGACCAGATGCTCTCTGTGCACATCCCATTGTGCCTTCAAGCACGGAGCACAGAGTCCTCTGCCCAGCACCAGGTCAACTTCCAGCCAGCATTGGTAGCTCAGAGATCCACATGGCATGGAGTCCCCATCCATACCTGCTCCACAGGCGCCTCCAGATCAGAGTCACCCGAGGGTCATGCTGTACTGGGAGGCCAGAGGAGTGGTTCAAAGTGATGAGAGGACTTGAGAAGGATGATCTGTGAGGTCAGCATCAGAGGCAAAAAGGGGCAAGAAAGTCATAGCTGTACCCAGGAAGGGAGAAGGCTCAGGACACAGACAGCCAGGCTCACAGAAGCAGACCATGTGAAGTTCAGGGCTGAGTCGAGCAGGCGGGACTGTTAACTGGAAACATGTGGAACAGAGAATCAGATGCATAAAATCTTCACTGAGGGTGCGTGGGGCAGAGAGGCCTTACGAGCTCTCATCACCTAGCAGATCAAGAAGAGAAGGCTTGATGAGTCCCTGCAGAACTGGGAGCTAGACCAAAAGGCTGTACTCCAGCCAGTCCAGCTCCAGCCCTGCCCCTGGGCCACTCTCTCCTCAGACAGGGAGAGCTACTGCAAACCTAGGAGAGATGCCCAGTGTCGGTCCTCTTGGGGCAATACCACCCAGCACTCCAGTGTGATTAAACTGGAGAGACAAGGTCACTAGGTTCTAGTCCCATCACTGCTATTACAGGGCTCTGTTGTCTCAGGATATTCTGATACCCAGAGTCTGTTTATGTAGCTGTGACATGGAGCACTGGACACGTGGAATTGTTTCCAGGACTAAGGGTGACTTTGTGTTTACTGTGGGGTCAGCTCACAGCACTTATACCCACAGAAGGGTGACGGGTGACCACACAAGGAAAGCTCAGGGAGAGCCACCAGCACTGCCTCCCAATAAAGAGGGAAAGCCTTCTGGTGCCTGTCTTACCAAGTGGGGTTTGCATCCTTAAGGTCAGGTGTAGTGTGCCTTCAGTCTGCAGGAGAGAGAACAGCCATCAGGATCCTGGGTGACACACATCTAGCCAACTCTAAGACAATGATCATTCAGACTTGAGGCAGCACAGAGGGGAAAGGGTCAGAAGGGGATCTGGGGTGAAGATTCTAGAGTCAGCGGGAAGCATTACTTCGACTGCTCCCCCACTGTGCACAGATACCCACAGGTGTGCAAGGATGCATTCTCTCTCTCCATCCTGTCCCCCCTCTGTTGTATTGGTAGCCTCATCAAGTAAAGAGGTCAACAGCAAGAATATCTTCAAGAACTTCCTGAAACTAAACAGATTCACTAGGCCCCTCCCTGTCAGATGAAGCAGAACCAAGCAGCAAAGATTTTGACATGACAGAAACCACCCAGCCAAGCAGAAACCAGCTACTCTGCCTGGGAGAGGTTTAGCCCATCTGAGGCACCTGGAAAGGACACTCTCCAACCTGCTGAGCTGCCAGCAGGCTGTGCAGTGTGCTCCAGGGTCCCAGCTTTTGTGAGTCTTCTGTCATCAGTGCTGGGTGTCCTTTGGTGATGCAGCTGTCTTTGAGTCATTTCTGCTCCTGTAAGTGATCGCACACCCTCACCCATATTCCTATAAGTAACCCCAGTAAAGCTCATTGCTTCACCAATTTAAACTTGTTGGTTATCTGTACTTTGGTCTGTTTTGAGTTCCCTACCTGAGGTGAGGAGATGAGTATGTTTCCTCTTCTCAAGAAAAATTTTGTCATACAACAACCCTCCCCCAAATGTCCACAAAAAAGACAGACCCCATTAGAGCCCTTGAAGAAAGAGTGAATGATGGAGAGGTGAGAATCTCCCTGGGAGAGCTGTTCCTTCCCCTCATCAGCTGATGCTCTCAAGAGAGTGCCCCCTCTGCCACCCCTGGACAACACTGTAGAGCTGGCCCTAGGTGCAGCCTTGAGAGATCTGACCCTGAGAAATTAAACCAGCACAACTGTCCCTGCCCCTTGCACAGATGGAGAGCTCAGGGCAATGCTGGAGAGCTCAGCCCATGGGTAAGGACAAGGGAGAGCCGGCAGGCTGAGCAACCCTAGCATTGGATCCCAGCCCACACAGAGCTCTGACAGCCACAGGTGTATCCTGTTCTCTAGTCCTCCCGGACAGCCCAGCCTCGCCCCCTGACAACATCCAGCACGAGGAAAACACAGACTGACACCTCGGTGGGCAGCACTGTGCTGTTAGTCTGTATATAAGGCTGTTCCCTCCTTGCAATAAAGTTGAACACAGGCATTGTCTTAGCACAAACAGCTGGATTTCTCGTCTTTTATTTAAATCTCCAGGATTTTGCTTGATACACTGGACTTGCTCGAGGCTCAGGCGCCATACCCTACTGCTACCCAGACCCAGAACCTGGGTTATGAGCTGGGTCACCCCACCGTCCCCACCATCTGGGATCTGCTGCAGCATTGAAGACTCAAAGATGCAGGATTTCCACTACACAGGACACCAGCAGGATAACTAAGAGGAGTCCCAGTGGGATCCCAGCAAGAACAGCAGAAACCAAAGGTCTTGAACCAGACCAATGAGTCTCTGCAATGCAAGCAAGCATATATGAATAAGAGTGTTTACTGCATGACTCCCTGTGTCACTCTACAGCTTCCGTGATGAGGCTTATGTTTCCTCATCCCCCCCCCTTTTCTTCTGTTTTCTCTTCAATTGTATTTTATTTCAGGGGAGGGGTAGCTTGCATTGGATGGATAAGTAGTGACAGGGAAGTGAAGGGGATGGAGATGTATGCTGTGAGGGACAAAGAATAAATGAAGGACAGGAAAATACTTCCTGGGGGTGGGAGAGGATGAAAAGCATTTGTATCTGACACCCACCTGCTGCAGCTTCCACTGGGAGGCACCACACACTTACCCTGTAATGGGCGGTTTTTATCCAGAACCTTGAGTCTTTGTCAGTGTATGAAAAATCAGAATCTTTCTGCCACACACTGGGGAGACACGCCAAACTTGAGGAGAATTGGGACAGGAATTCTGCGCAGCATTCGCCCACCTGACACAACCTGACAGTGACAGAGACTCGGTGCTGAGGGGAGTAGAGGGGAGAGGCACATTAGGGACAGATACCTTTAGTCATGCTGGATGCTGCGCTAACTGTTTTATGCAAAGGTCTAGATGAGAGGTTCCAACAGCCATAAACACAGCCTTGCGTCCACCACCTCTGTCTTCCCAGGACCTGGGATGTCTGCTGCTCTTCTGCCTGGTCTGACCCTAACCTCCCTCTGCCCATCCCTGCTCATCCGCAGCTTCTCCCACACAGTAGACACAGTCTCCAGACACACAGCACCTTTCACGGATGCTGGTCACACACTAACACTCTCTCTCATACACACCTCTCTCTCTCTCTCTCTCTCTCACACACACACACACACACACACATTCTCTCCTACAATGTAACAGACCGACTTGTGAGAATGTGTGAGAGGGTTAGTTGTGAGTTTGAGCTTCTGAGAGCATGTGAGTGTGTGAGAGCTCGATTGTGTGTGTGTGTGTGTGTGTGAGAGAGAGAGGGGGGGGAGGATCTCTGTGTGTGTAAACCTGGCTTTCCTAGAACTGACTAACTGGGCCAATGTGGCCTTGAACTTAGAGATCTGCCTGCTTCTGCAGTGTGAGTGAGTGTGTGTGTGTGTGTGTGTGAGTGTGTGTGTGTGTGTGTGTAAATGTAACAATGCAGACTATTTCTTGGTATACTAACCAAGAGAGACACAGAGAAAGAGAGACAAAGAGAAGGAGGAAATAAAGGCAGAAGGAAATGAGGAGAAAAGAGAGAAGAACACTGCTGGGCCTTTTGTTGCAACCTGGAATCCCAAGGACTCAAGAGTCTGTGGCAGGAGGAGCACAAGCCTCACTCCCTCATGGACTACAAGCGAGTTCAAGTGCTACTCCATGGGGCACTCCAGAGGATGTGTCCCTTAGCAACAGCTTTGCCTGGGGGCCTTAGGCTAATTCTTTTACAGAAGCCATCAGATTCTCCCCATGCCTTTTTTAACTCAGTTGCCTAAGAAGCTGTTCTGGAAGCTGCATCTGCCCCTCTAGGCACACGTGGATCCAACAGCTACTTTAACACAAGTCTGCCCCAGAAGCAGGATGCTTGGAGACATGTGACTCTAATGAATTCAGTGACTGCACAAACTATCTTTTGGAAGTTGTCTCATTTACATCCGCACTAACAGAATTCCTTTCTGAGCTTTATTTTTCTTAACTGAAAAATATTTGATGCTAAAACTGTCCCTATTTTATTTGGTGTAGATTTAAGGAAAACACATATCTACTGGAAATTTTTATTTTTATGCTGCTATAGATGAATTATCCCCTTGTTAAGTTTCCAAACTGTGACAAACTGAGGTTCAATAACATATCACAGTTGGCCCCAGATAAAGGGGGGAAAAGGATGAAAAAGGAAGGACATGACTGCTCCTAGGTATGGAGGAGGAGAAGGTTTATTGTAGATAAAAGGAAGAGCACAGGCAGAGATGGAGACATCTGGGTGAGTTTGGAGTGAACATGACTGAGAGCCTGGCCAAGTGGGGGGGGAGAGGAGATGATAACCAAGTGGGGTGGCCTGGGCCAAGAGACTGGCACAGACAAAACAGCTGGACTTTAAAGGGAAGGGCCAGAGGAGGTGGGGTGTGGTGGGAATGTTGGGAGACTCAACCTTGAAGTGGACAGTACAGGGTAGAGCAAGTTAAGCTGCCATACCCTGAAGCCTGTAGAGAATGAAGGATGCTGGCAGAATCTGGTGGCCAGAGGCCACTTTCCTATATTAATGGGCACCTCAGCAATTTGTCCCACATGTAGGACCAAATACCCCTCAGGCAGGTACCTGGCAGAGGACACTTGGTATCTGCCACACCTACACTAGGGCTTTGCCTTCAAGTGACATCCATGGTACTTGGGGAGCAGTTTTGATACCTAGAAATGCTTTCCTTACAGCATCACAGAGTAGTATAGACTAGAGGGATCCATTGTAGTCTAAAGCCACAGCCTATAGCAATTGTCAGGGTGATATCTACCTGAACACATACACCCTAGCACAGAAGACTACCCACAAGTTCAAGATGCAGCTTGCCTGGAGCCCCCAAACTCACCATGTCATCAGCTAGATGGTCCGTTTTAAATAACAGGGTTGCAACTATCCAGAGTCTCTGGTTCTCATCCTTGTAGTAACCAGGTATTTCCCTGGTAAGAGTGACTGGAATTAAAAAGGGACCAGCAGCCATACTGAGGAGACCAAGGGGCTGTTGGTTTCCTTAAAATACAGTGCAGGGACAGAGGGAGAACTAACCCGCAGTTGCAGCAGGGGCCAGGAAAATAAGGTGTGAGAAACCCAGTTCTTCTACAGCTGGACCAGGAGCACAAATCCCTAGAAACAGCTGACGGCTTCACCAGGTGCCCTGCGTCCTCAGGCTAGCCCTCTACAGCGTTCTCTGTGGACCCTGCCCAGACCCCCAGGGAGTGTTGTCCTGTCCACCTTTCCAACTCGTTTCCCTCAGGAAACTAGCTGAAGCCCCTGGATCTAGGGCAGTGGCCCTCAGCCTACCTGATGCTGTGACTTTTCAATACCTCATATTGTGGTAGCAAAAGTCATAAAGTTATTTCTGTAGCTATATCACAACTGTAATTTTGCTATTGTTGGAATTCTCATATAAACACTTTGGGCGACAGAGGTATCCAAGACTGTCTGCACCGACAAATTCAAAACTGAATCCTTGGGGATTATCTGAGGAAGACACACCAGGGCTAAGTTTCTTCTGGAATCGAAGCCCATGCCCCTCAGATGTTTGTGAACACAATCATGCAAAATGTGACTGACTCTGGCAAAGGCAGCTGGGGCTTCGGCTTCTGGATAGCCTTGCCCTTGGTCTGGAGTGTGACCACCCAAGCAGCCATCTGGTCTGTTTTTCTGAGGGCACAGCAGGGCAGTCACAAAGCAGCCCTGTGAGGGCAGCACCTGTGCCCTGAAAACCAGCTGTGTGTCCTTTTCCTTTTTGAGGACCTCAGACCAGATTCTTCTCATCCCACCCAGATCTTGGGGAACACCTGTGTCTGTCAGCAACTCCCTCCCTTCTCCCCTCCCTCTCATCCTTCCTTCCTTTCTTTTTCTCTCAGAAGAGTCTCATGTAGCCCAGGTTGTCCTCAGACCCAGTTGTAGTTGAGGATGACCCTGAATTCCTGGTCCTCCTGCCTCAGTTCCTCTAGGGCTGGGATTTCTTCACCATGCCCAGTTCTCTGTAGGGCTGGAGTTCCAACCCAGAGCTTAGCACAGACTAGCCCAGCATTTCACCACCTGAGACCCCTAGCTGCTTGGAGACACCTAGCACCATGGAGGCACTTCCTGCTTGTCTTATGACAACTTGACAGAACCTACAGTCATCTTAAAGTCAATTAAGAAAGTGACTCCATAAGATTGGGTTGTAGGGCTGGAGAGATGGCTCAGTCATTACGGGCTAGGCTCACAACCAAAAATATGAGATTGGGCTGTAGGCAAGCTTGTAGTGCATTTTCTTAATTGGTGACTGATGGGTGAGGGGAGAGCTCAGCCCATGTAGATCGGCCCAGTTATGGGATGGTGATCCTGGGTTCTATAAGAAAGTATAGTGACCAAGTCATGAAGATGTAGCCAGTAAGCAGCACCCTCTATGGCCTTTGCTCCAGCTCCTGCTTTGACCATGCTTGAGGGCCATTCCTGATTTTCTTCAGTGATGGACTACAATGTGGGAATGTAAGACAAGTAAATCTCCCCATCTTGCTTCTGGTCAAGGCATTTCATCACAGCAATAGTGACCCTAAGACACTAGGTACTGCATCTTTAGACTAGATACTGCAGACCCCATTTCACAGATGAAGAAACTGAGGCATGGATGGTGTGGCCTGAGTGAGGTGGTTGGCAGTGGGATCCTGTGACTCACCTATTCTTGGCTCTGACGCTTTGATGCCAATCTTAGCTGAGCCCCTAGAATTACTGGGTCACAGGTAGAAGCTGAGAATGTATCTCTGGAAGGAATGATGTTCATGGAAGGTGGTCCTTTTGTCCTCTATCTAGTCATTGTCCCCACCATGGCTGACAGGAGGTTATGTATCCTGGCCAACCGGCCCCTCTCTGCTACCTGGCATGGAGAGATGTTGAGATGCAGCCCTCTGTCCATGGTGCTGCTCTTCCCCAGACATGAGCTCTGCCCAGCAATGCTGACCTCTCCCTTCAGAGGGAGCCCTTCCCAAGCCCCAGGAACTGAGTACAGGTGCATAGGCTGGGGTGCAGGTGATTCCAGACCACAGACAGGGGGCGCTGTGGCAGCCTTGGCAGACGAAGAGAAAAGGACTGTGCTGTTGGCACACCTTGCTCTGACACTCCCAGATACTGGGCCAGAACCACGGGATAGATGTGAGGTAGAGAGCCTATCTCGAAGGGGCCTGGTTGGAACTGCGATTGAGGTATTGACCTCAAACGAACAGGCAAGGAGGGAACTCAAGGTATTTAGAGACAACACAATGATGGAGTGTCCTCAGGCTCCCGTGACAAAAGCTCAGACAGTGACTTCCTGGGCGTTCTCAGGGTAAGGAAATGCTAAACCAAGCAGAATGATGGGCAAGGTGAGCTTGTTATTGCCCAAGTGACCTGGACCACACTTGAGGAACGTGAGGAACGGACACACTGACAGGGAGTCTTGGTCACCTAATCAGATGATTCAGCCTGGGAAAGGACTGGCTGAAGACAGGCCAGAGAACACTGCAGAAGAGACTCCCCGTTCCATTTGCTTAGTTCAGGGATCAGCCCAAGCCAGCAGGAAGATGGAAAAAACTCAGCCTGACCCAAAAACCCAGAAGACGTGGGCACTAATTGCCTTCACTGGGGCAATAAAGATGTGCCCTCGAAGCTGAGTTTCCGGTGGTTTGAACAGAATGTCCCCCCGAGACTCAGGTATTTGAACACTGAATCCCAAGAAGACAGCGCTCCCTGGGGAGGTTTGGGAGGTGTGGCCTTGCTGGAGGGAGCAGTCACTGGGGACAGGGGTTGAGCATCGAAACCTCACCCTCCAGCTCTGTCTTAGCCTCATGCTTGCTGTTGAGGATATGAGTTCTCACTTCGTATGTCTGCGGCCTTGCTTCCCTCACACGATGGACTCAGCCCTCTGAAACTGTAAGACCAAAGCAACTCTTCCTTGTGTAAGTTGCCTCAGTCATCGTGTTTATCAAGACAAAGAAAAGTAACAAATACATCCAGATATCCACTTAGCTCAGTGCTGTTAGTGAAGTCAGGGCCTTCTCTGCTCTACAGTGGTTTCACTTCCACAGGGAATCTGGAAGCATGCATGCCCATGTCAGCCTCCATTTCTGTTGTAGCCAGTTAGAGTGCCTGTTTTTGAGCTGACATGTTAGTCTGTAGAAACCTTTGCTTTAAAGTGGGTCTTGACAACTTGCAGTGTCATCTGCCTCCTCAAGGTTTGCTGCTCTCCCAGATCACCTGTGGTGGTGGCCAGATTCACCAGTCGACTTGGAGAGAGTTCATATTTAAGGCAGTGAACTTGGGGTAAAGCAGATTGGCTTCCTTATTGTGTGTGAGCCTCACCCCATCAGTTGAAGGATCTCACCAGAAGAAAAAGACCATCCTTAGGCTGGGGAGACGACTCAGCCAGTCAAGATCTACCCACAGACACTGCTCCCGGGGTAAGCCCTCCTGCTCCAGGATAAGATGGTCTACAAGCAAATCCAGAATCCGAACTTTCTCCATCATCACTGGGCACACCCTGCCCTTGAGAATGATGACCTCTGCATCACCAGACAGGAGCTTTCACTTCTTTCTCTGGTGAGAGGAGATGAAGGAGGACAGAGCTGGATGCATTCTGTGTGGCTGGAGGAACATCCTGGGTTAAGTGTACTTACCCCGGCCATTCCTGCTTCCCTAGGCTGTAACAGACAGAGAGTGTGTCTCTAGAACACTCTTGGTATTTTCCATTTTACAAAGAGTTAGAAGACCCAGGGCTTCAGTGTCCAGCCTAAGACAGTAGCTCCTGCCTCCCCCCATCATTAGCTTTATCATATCCCTTCATTCAGCCTCTACCTGTGCCCCCAGCAACTCTAGGGACTCAGGGAAGATTGGCAGCAAAGTGTCAGAGCCAAGTATAGGTGAGTCACAGGTTCCCACTGCCACCCACCTCACTCAGGCCACACCATCCATGCCTCAGTTTCTTCATCTGTGAAAAGGGGTCTGCAGTCTCTAGTCTAAAGATGCAGTACCTAGTGTCTTAGAGCCACTATTTCTGTGATGAAAGATATGACCAGAAGCAAGATGGGAAGGTTTCCTTGTTTTACACTTTCACACTGGAGTCCATCTCTGAAGAAAATCATGAATGGAACTCAAGCAGGGTCAGAACATAAGTCAGGACCTAGTGAAGAGACCATGGAGGGGTGCTGCTTACTAGGTACATCTTCATGACTTGGTCACTATATTTTTATAGAGGACCCAGGTCACCAGCACAGGGCTGTCCACACCTACATGGGCTGAGCTCTCCCCTCCCCATGAATCACCAATTAAGAAAATGCACTACAGTGTTGCCTACAGCCCAATCTTAGGGAGCCATTTTCTTAATTGGCTCCCTCCTTTCAGATGACTGTAGGCTCAATCAAGTTGTCATAAAATATGCAGGAAATGCCTGCATGGGGCTAGGGGTTTCCATGCAGTTAGGGGTCTTGCTGGGCTAGCCTAAGCAAAGCTCTAGATTGGAACTCCAGCCCCACAGAGAACTGAGCATGGTGATGAAATCCCAGCACTAGAGTTGCTGAGGCAGGAGGACCAGGAATTCAGGGTCATCCTCAACTACAACTGGGTCTGAGGACAACTTGGGCTACATGAGACCCTTCTGAGAGAAAAAGGAAGGAAGGAAGGATGAGAGGGAGGGAAGAAGGGGGAAATGCTGACAGGCACAGGTGTTCCCCAAGATCTGGGTGGGATGAAAATAATCTGGTCTGAGGCACTAAAAAGGAAAAGGACACACAGAGCCAGTCTTCAGGGCACAGGTGCTGCCCTCACAGGGCTGCTTTGTGACTGCCCTGTTGTGGCCTCAGAAAAGTGAGGAGATGGGCTGAGGAGATGGCCCCTTGGGCAGTCACACTCCAGGTCAAGGGCAAGGTTAGCCTGAAACCAAGCTGCCCTTGCCAGAGTCAATCACGTTTTACATGATCTTGATCACAAACATCTGAGGGGAATAGGCTTGTTTTCCAGAAGAAATTTAGGCCAGGTAACCCTTAGCGCATCGGTTCTCAAGTTGTAGATTTTGACCTTCTTGCAAACCTCTGTCTCCCAAAGTATCTATATGACAATTCACAACAGTAGCAAACTTAGAGTTATGAAGTACCTACAAAAACAATGTCATCACTGGGGTCTCCACAACATGGGGAACTGTATTTAATGGTCACAGCATTAGGTAGGTTGAGGACCGCTGTCCTAGATCCTGGGGCGTCACCAAGGTTCCTGAAATGTGTTGTAGAGGTGGTGATGAAAATAATCCCTGGGGGTCTGGGCAGTGTCCACAGAGAACCCTGTAGAGGGCTAGCCTGAGGATCCAGGGCACCTGGTGAAGCTGGGCAGCTGTTTCTAGGGACTTAAGCTCCTGACCCAGGTGCAGAAGGTCTTGGTTTCTCCTGTCTTACTCTCCCTGCCCTAGCCCCAGCCTGCCGCTGCAGGACGGAGTGTATTTTAAGGAAGCTGCCAGCTAGCTGGGCCACTCACTATGGCTGCTCTTTCCCGGGGTCTTCCCCCATGCAACCTGACATATGTAAGTCCTGGTAACTACCGTGATGAGAAACAGAGACTCTGGATGGTTGTGAGTCATGAATTTACTCCCGATAACACTCATAACTGGGTAAGTTTTCGGGCTGCGGTGAGGCTGACATTGTGGGTAGACTTGTTGGTTAAAGTGTTTGTGTTGGGGTGATGTTATCATATCAGAATATAGCCAATACTGGTCTGTCACCAGAACCATGTCTTCACCCCTGCACCAGCCCCAGGAGCCCCTGCTTATCTGTTGTGGTGAGGCCTGACTCACTGGTAGAGGGCCTAGTCAGAGGAAGCATGCTGAGAAAGCTTATAGGATAGTTTAGGCTGGGCTTTGTGGGGTGAGTGAATGAGTTCTCCAGGTCATAAAAAAGCCGGGTCCAGTATAAGCCACACTACTTGGAAGGAGCAGATACGAATGTAAACCACCAGTTTCTGATTTTCTGCAAATAATGATACATCTGCTGCTCCCAAACTATAGTTCTCCCAAACTATAATGCCTGGGGAAGCATTTAACAGCTAAGGGGTCCTCACACTGGAAACTGATTAGGGGTCTTGCTGGGTTCTGCAACCCCTGGTGAGAAGATAATCACCTTGAAAACTGCTCTGGGCTGTGGCTTTAGGCCATAATGGAACCCAGGAGGCTAACCTACTCTGTGATGCTGCAGGAAAAGCGTTTCTAGGTACCAAAACTCTCCCCAAGGCCCAGGGATGTCACTTGAGGGCAAAGCCCTTGTGTATGTGTGGCAGAGCCTATGGTTCCCCTGTATGGTACTAGGTGAGGGGTGTTAATTGTTTACACCTGAGGCAAACTTCTGAGGTGATGATAGTTAAGATATCAAAGTGTTCTCTGGCCAACAGGTTCTCCCAGCATCCCTCACTCTATACCTGTTGCAGGGTATGGCAGGTTTACCCTGGCCTTTCCCCTGAACTCTTTATCCCATGGCCTGGACCTCCCCCCCACCTACCTCTTCTGGCCCCTATAAAACTCAGCCATTTTGACTTTGCCAGTCTCTTGGACCAGGTCACCCCACTTGATGGGCAACTCCTCTTCCCTCTCCTGTCCCTCCCCTCCCCCTCCTTCTCCCCTCACCCCTCTCCCCATATGGCCTGGCTCACAGTCTTGGAGACTCCGGAGTCTTCTCAAACATTCCTGTCTTTGCCCTTTTATCTACAATAAACCTTCTCCTCCTCCATACCTAGGAGCCATCATGTCCTTCCTTTTTCATCCTTGTTCCCCTTCATCTGGGGCCAACTTGAATATATTATTGGATCTTAGTTTGTCTCAGGTTTGAAACTTAAGAATGGGGTAATTCACTTACAGTGCCATCAAAAAATAAAATCTTAAAGTAGATATGTTTTTCTTTAAACCTACACCAAAAAATATGGAAATATTTTTGACATGTTTTTGGTTAAAAAAATAACATAAAAGAATTCTGTTAGTGAAGATGTAAATGAGACATCTTCCATGAGAAACTTTGTGCAGTCATTAATTCATTAGGGTCACATGTCTCCCAACATCCTGCTTCTGGGCAGCCTTAGCTGTTGGATCCACGTGTGCCTAGAGGGGCAGGTGAAGCTTCCAGAACAGCTTCTTAGGCAATTGAGTTAAAAGGGGGATGGGGAAAATCTGATGGCTCCTGTAAAAGAATCAATCTCAGGTCCCCAGGCAAAGCTGTTACTAAGGGACACATCCACTAGAGTGCCCATGGAGTTGCACTTGAACTCAATTGTAGTCCAGCCTGGACTGGGACTTGTGCTCCTCTTGAGTCCTTTGGGATTCCAGGTTGTAATGACAGGCCCAGCATTGTTCTTCTCTCTTTTTTCCTCATTTCCTTCTTTCTTTATTCCCTCCTTCTATTTCTCTGTGTGTATGTGTGTCTCTTGGTTAGTATACTAATAAGTAGGTTGCATTGTTACATTTACACACAGAGACATGGCAGAAGCAGGTAGATCTCTTAAGTTCAAGGCCACATTGGCCCATATAGCCAGTTCCAGAGATCCTGCCTCAAGCAGGTTACAAATACAAAAGCAAATAAATGAATCTTAAAAATCAAACCAAAACCTGTGAGCCCGAGTTAGGATCTCAGCAGCCACATGAAAAGCACCATGTGTCTCTGTAGCCCATAACTTCAGTGCTGTGGGGGCGGAGTCAGAGTCCCTACTTCAAAGACATGAGGGAGAAAGTGATGGAGCAGACACCTGAGTCTCCTTTGTCCTTTTCAGACTGTCACATATGTGCATCACACACACACACATGTTAAGAGAAGCTTTTTCTTTGCTAGCCGCTTTGGTTTATCCCCCACCAGCCGCCTGGGCTCTGCCGCATTGTAGCCCCCAAATAAACACACAGGAGGCTGTATTAATTATGAAGCTGTTGGCCTTGCTTGTTTCTTACTGGCTAGCTCTGACTTAGGTAATTACCCCATAATTGTTAATCTAAGTATGTCTCTTACCGGAGAGGTTTCCGGGCTTCCTACCCCAATGGCGTTACATCTCGACTCCTTGTGTTTCTCCTACCCAGAGTCCTCCTGGACTCCTAGTCCCTCCTATCTAGATTCCCTATTGGCCAGACAGTACTTTATTGACAAATGCACAGGACTTCCCCAACATCTCCTCTTTTCTGTTTAAACAAAAAGAAAGGTCTTAACTTTAGCATAGTCAAATTATATATAACAGAACAGTTATCAAATAAGAACATAGTTACAATATTTTAGCAAGATTTAAAGAAAATATTATCCATCCCATCCTTGTGAGTCCAAAGTCCTATATGTAGCTTATCTTTTATCATAACTAAGGAAAACTATAATTATAGCTATCTGTCTTCAACTCTATCAAAGACCACAGAAGGATAATATATAAACACTAGGATTGACAGAGACATCTTACTGCCTGGACAGTCACCCGAAGTTCCTCTGTAACGTTGGGGCATCCATCTTCAGCCCATAGGCCACAGTGTGTCTGGAACACTTCTCAGCAAAGCAGGAAATTTCAAACTGTCCATCTGCATCAGCAGTCTGTCAGTCATTTTTCTGTGTCCTGCAGAAAGTCCCGTAGACTCTTCCATGAAGCAGGAACCCTGTAAGACTGAGTTCAGCAGTCACTTTCCTGTGGGTCCTGCATGTCCAGATTATACAACAACAGTCAAACAGTCTAGGTAAGAGCAGTTTCTTGCCCAAATGGCTAATCTTGCCATGTTGAAAGCAAACTCCATAACAAGTTTCTTCGATGCCCATCTTCCTCTCAGACGTAATTGGTGCTGCCAGGAGCAGACATTTCTCATTGTCAAGAAAAACCCTAAACCATTTTAAATGCCATTTTCTGAAGGTCTTTGAGAGGTTTGAAGACTGTTTATCTATCTGTCTCAAATACATCTCTATATATCTAGAAAACCTAACTTACCTAACTATAAATCTTATTATCAATAACTATCTATAGTCTGTATTCAATTATGTATTACGTTTTAAAAGATCAGTATAAGCACAATACTTAATCAAGAGGAGACATATACATATCACAAAATTGACCTTGAATTTGTCTCAATAAATGAAAAACAATACCCATACCATAATTCCCTTTTTTACCATTAAAAAGGATTGGCTGTGATCACTAGCCAATTATAAACAATCCCATTTAAATGAAAACAAAGATTTATAAACAAGATGGGAATTAGGACGTCGCTCATTCCAAACTGCTTCCTGCTGGAAGGGGGCGCTGTTCATACCATGGGGATCATGACAAAACTCAGAAACCTGTATAAGTCCGTATTTTCGGGGTCTGTAAAACTGCATCATCTTAGCTGTTTCAATTGTTGGAACATCTGATCCACTGCTTCCGGGGGTTTTGGTTCGTCAAACCACAGAAGACTGGAAGGAATCCTCAGCTTTTCATTTTCTGTGGAAACATAAACTAAAACTCCTTTTCCGAGTAACATATCCATATACTTAAATTTTGAAGTCAAGGCATTTTCAAAAGATATAAGTTGAATTAATTCAGAAGCATTTATAATCAAGTGTACTTTAGCATTTGTTCCTTCCTTAGCAATGAAAAAACTGAAAAACATAATAGCGTACAGTATCCAGACTCTCTGTGTATTTTCCATATTTACGTGGCTTATTTATTTATATATTATTACTTTATTTATTTTAATTTATTTTTCTCTGAGACAGGGTTTGTCTTTGGAAATCTGCCTGCCTCTGCCTCTGGAGCAATTCCTACCAGCGTGCGTGAGCCACCACAGCCGGCTTTTTTATTTTCTCTCTCAGTCTTACGTATATTTTTAAACACACTGTAAACCTTTAGAGATTTTCTTCTTCCAAGTCTGACTTTACTGTAAATCTTTGTTTTTCTGGCCACGTGTCTTAACTGTAAAACCGCGGCTGTTTTAAACTGCCGTTTTCTTTTTTTTTCAAGATGGCGGGCGTTAAGCGTGACTCCAGCTTACCGCCTCAGTCCATGCTGACCTCCAGCAAAAGCTGCCACTTCCAGCTGTACGTACACACCTTTCAATCGTTAGCAGAGTCTCTTAAAAGAACCCTGTTGGTTTTTTTTTCTTTTTCTTTTTATGCCGAGTCAGGAAGACTCCAGTAAGCGAGCCGCGTGAATCTCGGCTTGTGGCTAGCAAAAGAGCACACCTGAGAAAAATGCTGCTACCAAAATCTGTGCTTCTGTCTGTTCTTCTGTTTCTAAAATTCCTTTAAATCTTTTGTTATTTTGCGTGGAAATTCATGATCCCACTCCTGACACCATTTTGTTAAGAGAAGCTTTTTCTTTGCTAGCCGCTTTGGTTTATCCCCCGCCAGCTGCCTGGGCTCTGCCGCATTGTAGCCCCCAAATAAGCACACAGGAGGCTATATTAATTATGAAGCTGTTGGCCTTGCTTGTTTCTTACTGGCTAGCTCTGACTTAGGTAATTACCCCATAATTGTTAATCTAAGTATGTCTCTTACTGGAGAGGTTTCCGGGCTTCCTACCCCAATGGCGTTACATCTCGACTCCTTGTGTTTCTCCTACCCAGAGTCCTCCTGGACTCCTAGTCCCTCCTATCTAGATTCCCTATTGGCCAGACAGTACTTTATTGACAAATGCACAGGACTTCCCCAACACACACACATCACACTCTTTCTCAAATCACACATTCTACTCTCATACTAACTCTTATACACATACTGTCACAATTCTACTACAGCTCACTCTCTCACACTCTGAGTGTGTGTGTGTGTACCAGAGTGTGTGTGCATGTGAGTTCCCACACACGGTTGCTGGTGACACAAGACTTTCACAGTGTGATCTCAACAAGAATCAGGAGGTTTTTTTCAATCTGAGGATGCAGAGGGAAACTTTTCATTTTGTAGGCGCTGAGGACTTGGGAACACTTCCTGGGCCACCATGGTGCAAAGCACCAGAGACAATGGAGTTTCAAATAAAACTTCATTTACTATAAAAGCAGGTGACACAACAATGTGGGTCCCTGTCCCTTCTTTGCTGTCCCTCTTCACTGACAACCTAAAGTCAGAACAACAGAAGGGCAGACTCTCAAAAAAATTGTTAGGGTGACCAACAGAAGGGTGACCTGCCAGAGTGTGACAAGTGAAAAAAATGCAGGCAATTAGAGGAAGACAGGGGAACACTGGTAGGGAGTCCGGGACACACTCTCTGCATGGTGGTCATGCCTGGCACTTGCTTACAGTTTATAGTAATGGTTTTCTTTGTTTTTGTTTGGTTTTGTCAGGACAGAGTTTCTCTGTATAACTGTACTGGAACTCGCTACGTAGACAAATGCTGGTCTCCAATCAGAGATCAGCATGCCTCTGCCTCCTGAGTGCTGGGATTAAAGGCATGCACCACCATGCTTCACTATTTAGACTTTTTCACTTTGTAACCTTCTGTGCTGGCTAAGGTTTCTGTTTTTGCATTTATTAAAGGCACATGAAGCTCAACGTCAACACCACATTGCATTTCTTTTGGTAAAGCCATAGCCCTGGGCCTGTGTGTGTGTGTATGTGTGTTATGCCTATTCAATGTTCAGGTGACTTGCTCTCTCTCTCTCTCTCTCTCTCTCTCTCTCTCTCTCTCTCTCTCTCTCTCTCTCTCTCTCTCTCTCTCCATTATACCCTTGAGACAGCATCTTTCACCAAATCTGGAGCTAGACTGCAGTCAGGAAACCTCAGTGGTCCTCCCATCTCAGCTTTCCACAGCCCTGGCACATGTGTGACTGTGGCTTTTATATGCGTGTTTGAGATTCACACTTAGGTCCTAATGTCTGTGCAGCTAGTACACTTAAGCAATGGGGTCATCTCCCCAGTATCTTATTTTTCAAAGGAGAATTTTTAAAGCAGTAGAAATGGCTGAGACCCAGGGCCGAATCCAGCATCCGTGAAAGGTGCTGTGTGTCTGGAGACTGTGGCTACTGTGTGGGAGAAGCTGGGGATGAGCAGGGATGGGCAGAGGGAGGACAGGGTCAGACCAGGCAGAAGAGCAGAAGACATCCCAGGTCCTGGGGAAGGCACAGATGTTGGAGACAAGACTGTAGTGAGGGCTTTGGGAACATAAACCTCTGATATTGACCTTACAGCAAAACTTACCCAGGCCCAAGTATGACTAACAGGATCTGTTCCTAATGTACCTCTCCTCTCTATACCTTTCAGCCTGGAGACTCCCTCATTATCAGGATGCAGCAGGTGAGCAAAGTCTCCCAGGAGGCCCCGTCCAGCGTATCCCCATGTTTGGCTTATATCCCCACGAAGTGGGTGCAGTATTCTCTGATATTATACCTGGGGTCAGACAACCGGTTCTGGAAATTAATGGACCACATCCAGGTAAGTGTTTGACACTTCACAGTGAAGGTGTGGCAGAGGGGACACTCCCCTGACAGCAGCAGCTGATGAGGGGCAGGGACAGCTCTCCCAGGGAGATTCTCTCCTCTCCTTCATTCACTCTTCATTCAAGGGTGCTAACAACATCATTTTTAGTGGAGTATTTGTGTCTAGTAGGGCGGGGATGGAAGTACCGCTCCTCTCTGGCTCTAGAATCCACACCCCAGATCCCCTTCTGCCCCCTTCCCCTCTGTGTTGCCTCAAGTCTGAATGGTCATTGTCTTAGAGTTGGCTAGATGTGTGTCACCCAGGATCCTGATGGCTGTTCCCTCTCCTGCAGATTGGAGGCAGAGAACAATTGGACCTGAAGCTGGACTTCAGTGAAGGTAAGATGGCCACCAAAAGGCTTTCCCTCTTTATTGGGAGGCAGTGCTGATGGCTCTCCCTGGGCTTTCCTTGTGTGGTCACCTGTCACCCTTCTCCTTTGGATATAAGTGCTGTGAACTGACCCCACAGAGTCACCCTCAGTCCTGGAAACAATTCCATGTATTCAGTGCTCCATGTCACAGCTAAGCAAACAGACTCAGGGTATTGGAAAGTGAGTCCTGAGACAACAGAGCCCTGTAATAGCAGTGATGGGACTAGAACCTAGTGACCATGTCTCTCCAGTTTAATCACACTGGAGTGCTGGGTGGTATTGGCCCAAGAGAATTTACACTGGGCATCTCCCCCAAGCTTGGAAGCAGCTCTACCTGTCTGAGGAGAGAGTGGTCCAGGGGCAGGGCTGGAGCTGGACTGGCTGGAGCACAGCCTTTGGGTCCAGCACCCAGTTCTGTGGGGATTCACTAAGCAGTGTCTCCTTGGTCCTCTCTAGGTATTGGTAGCCCTTCAGGTCCCTGCCCCTTGCACCGTCAGTGGAGATTTTGTGCATCTACTTCTCTGCTTTTTCCCCAGGTCTCTAGTATGGCAGTGCCTCCTGGTTGGCAGCCCTGAACTTCAGATAATCTGCTTCCGTGAGCCTGGCTGCCTGTGTCCTGAGCCTCCTCCCTTCCTGGGTACAGCTATGACTTTCTTGTCTCCTTTTGCCTCTGATGCTGACCTTACAGATTGTCCTTCTAAAGACCTCTCATCCTTTTGAGTCCCTCTCCTGGACTCCCAGTGCAGCATGCCCCTCAGGTGACTCTGATCTGGAGGCACTTGTGGAGCAGGTATGGATGGGGACTCCACGCCCTGTGGATCTCTGAGCTACCAATGCTGTCTGGAAGTTGACCTGGTGCTGGGCAGAGGACTCTGTGCTCCGTGCTTGAAGGCACAATGGGATGTGCACAGGGGCATCTGGTCACTTCTCCCACATGCTCAGGACTTGGGTCCCAGAAGTGATGCTGACCCTAATGCCTGCCCCAAACTTGTTTTTAACTAATTAAACTTAACTGCTTTTCCTTAAATTCTGTGCTGAGCCTATCTGTCCTTATCTGGGTTCTCATGCAGGAAGTAGAAGTTGACCCCCAAACGTTACAGGAGCACTGTGTGACCTCTTCAGGACATTTCCTCACTGGGGAATGGTTCCTGGTGCATTTCAGCAGCAGGGTACCTGGGGAAGGTCTAACAGGGAGGCTGTGTGGGAGCTGGGTGAAGCTGTGCTGGGCATAGGATAAGAAGCTGTGGCTTAACGTGGAGGGATGGAGAGTGGTCAGTGACTGACAGAGTCAACACAGGAGCCACACTAATTCACTACAGGCCAGAGGGAGAAAGTGTCCTTGCACATGAAGACACCAGATGTCAAGGGAGCCGCACAGCGGGGACAGAGGCCGGGTACTGTGAACATGTCCTTCCTTCAGCTGATCCACAGGAAAGAAAGGCACTGTCTCTCACACAATTCACAGGAAGAAAGTGTCAGCAGATGGAAGCTGTAACTTTACAGAGTGAATCTAGAAAAACCATTATAGGACTGTGGCTTTAGCTCAGTTTGTCACAAGCTGACTTTGCATACACAATGCTCTATGTTGACCCCTCAGTATTGCATTACCAGGGTTCAAACTAGCTGTGTGAGCACTTGCTGGACTCCTAGCACTTAAGATGTGGAAGTCAGAGAATCACAAGTTTAAGGTGATCCTTGACTAATGAAGTTAAAGCCAGCCTGGAATATATGAGGGCTTCTGTCTGTCTGTCTGTCTGTCTGTCTGTCTCTCTCTCTCTCTGTGTGTGTGTGTGTGTGTGTGTGTGGTGTGTTTTGAGACAAGTTTTCTGTGTGTATGACTGTTTTTCTCTGTATACCAGGCTGGCGTAGAACTCAGATCTGCCTGCCTCTGCTTCCTGACTGCTGGGCTTAAAGGTGAAAGCCACTACTTGGCACCTGAGACCTTTTTTTGTCATTTTGCTTTTTAAAGATGTATTTATGTATACAGTGTTGTGCCTGCATGTATGCCTGCAGGCTGGAACAAGGCACCTAAGTTCATTAGAAATTTTGTGAGACGCCATGAGGTTGACAGGAATTGAACCCAGGACCTCTGGGGAGCAGAACCTTGATACTCTGCCAGGTTCCCCTGAGGCTCAGGGCCACAAGAGACTCTGTGACAAAATGACTGGTGTTAATTTTTATTTTTATTTTCCTACAGTCCTATGGCAGCCAGAAAGCTGATAGCAAGGTGTGGGCGGAGCTGGTGTCTTCTGAGGATTGTCTCCTTAGTCATAGATGCTGTTTTCTGTGTCTTCCTCATGGCCCTCCTTCTGAGAGTGTGTCCCAATTCCCTCTTCCACAAGGACACCAACCATAGGCCCAGTCTCATGACCTCATGTGTCCTAATGACTTCCTCAAAGATCTCTGTTCAAAGGCATTTTCTAAGGGCTCTTAGAGCCAGGACCCCATGTATTGATGGACACACAATCCAGGTCACTCTCCCTGAGACTACTTAGGGCCTTTACTCTCATAAACATCTCGTGGCTCCTCCACTTGGTGAAAATCTTACCTTAGGAGCAACAGACATACTGGCTCCCAGGAAGTGGTCTTCTATGATGGCTGATCTCAGTTGCCAACTTGACTGCTTCTGTAGTCAACTAAGAGACACATCTCTGGGTAGACAGGGGTGTTGGGTTATTTCCCAGAAGGATTAGCTAACTGGGGAGGACTGTCCCCAGAATGGCTGGCACTGTCTGGCAGTGGCTCAGATCTAAACAAGTCTGAGGGCAACGGCAGGCACGCCTTTAATTCCAGTGCTTGGGAGGCAGAGGCAAGTGAATCTCCGTGAGTTCGAGGCCAGACTGGTCCACATAGCAAGATTCAGGATGGTCAGGATCATATAGATGCCAGTCTCTAAGCCAAAACCAAACCAAACAAAGAGGTCTCGGGGGAAGCGATGCCGTTTCCCCTGCTCACCTTTGCTCTCTGCAGAAGTCATCTCCCTTGTGTCTGTACTGCTGCCATCGGATCCTGCAGCCTCAGCCTTCCAATAGGAAATGAAGGCCAGTGGCTCTTAGAAATCCTCCAGACTTCTAGTACCATCAGACTGGGACCACTGAGACATCCAGCCTCATAGTCTGAGTCCCACTGGGTTCTCCAAACATCCAGCTATTGTTTGATCACTCATATTGTGCAAGTCTAGTCAAATGAATCCTGTTTTGAGAACCCTCCTATCTTTCCTCATCAAATCCTGTCTGCCCTGTCTGCATGCATAGTCTCCGTCTGTGACCACAGATGGCAGGAGTCTCTTCTCATCCCTCTGTCACCAAAAGGGACTTCATTTGTAGCTTGACTTTTTTGTGAAGGAATACACCCATGTGCTTCTGTGATCTAAGTTGATATCAAAGTGCTAGAAAATGAACACTGCAGGGCGTTGGTGGCACATGCCTTGAATCCCAGCACTCTGGAGGCAGAGGATCTCTGGGAGTTCAAGGCCAGCCTGGTCTACTGAACAAGTTCCAAGACCACATCCAAAGCAACAGAGAAACCCTGTCTCAAAAAAAAAGTGAACATCCCTTACACTCAAGTAAGAGCAGATACTTCCCCATGCATTTGCAACTATGTTAGCAGGAATAAAGGTATTCTAGGTATACCATGCCCCCTCCGTTTGGCTATCCAAGTATTAAAACAAAATGAGGCCTAAGGAATTGACATTTCCCTAGCAATCTCTTGCTGACAGAAAAAGAGGCAGCCATGAGTGAGGCTAGTCTCCAGGAAGATTTCACACATTTCTAATTTCAGACCACCTTCAGGCCAGATTGATGGGCAGGGCTCCTCCTAGAAACTGTTAGTTATACACATCTCTGGTCCTCTGTGTATCTCTAAATCCCTTGTTAGGACTCCCAGGTGGATTTAGGTTGTCACTGAAGCTTCTCAATTGTGGACATGTTAGATTTTCTTTTTTGGCTTTTTGCTATTAGTTATTAATCAGTCTATTCAGAAGGGCGGTGGAGTCTCTAGCTTGTAAGGGTGATGCTACAGCTTGGGTTCTAACCCTAACGGCTTCCTGAAAACCTCCATTGCAACACATTTATCTGAGTACCTTCATTGCTGGTAACTTTGTACCTGAGTATTTAATATCTAGACCAGGAGTAAAGACTATGACCAAATATGCTGGGCATTTTTTATAAGTTTTATTGACCAGTCACACTCAGCATTTATCATTTATGGTCCTCACAACAATGACAGAATCAAATAGCTACAACAGAGACATTATGGCCCATAACGTCCCAGATATTTGCTATCTGGCCCTTTATTAAAAAAATTGGGGGCTGGAAAGATGGTTCAGAGGTTAAGGGCACTGACTTCTTTTCCAGAGGTCCTGAGTTCAATTCCCAGTAATCACATGGTGGCTCACAGCCATCTATGATGAGATCTGGAGCCCTTTTCTGGTAGGCAGGCATACATGGAGGCAGAATGTTGTATATATAATAAAAATGAAATCTTAAGAAACAAAAAAAAGTTGGCCAATTTCTGCCCTAGCTTTCTAACTTTAATTGGTTTCTCTTCTTTCACTCTTGTCCCCTCAAGGTCCATCTTCCACACAGCAACTGGAGGTCATTCAGACCCTATTACTTCCTGGAAGTTCCTAGCATAAATTTTTGTTCTGACCAGCAAGACAGACTCTCTCAGCTATATTCACCAGCTCCAGGCTCCATGCCCTTCAGGCACACTGGCTGGCACTTGGTTGCAGGACATCACATCCCCCCCCCTCCAAGTGGACGTTACCATCTCAGAGAACATGGGATCCTGTTTCATCCAATGTTCTGCCTTCTCTCCTGGTCCTGAACCATAAGCAGAACCCAGCAAGTAAACACTGGTAGCCAAGAAAGGCAGATTCTGGCTACCCTCAGGCAAATAACTGCGGCTGGTTTCTGGGTATACTTCTCATCAGGAAATTGGGGGTAGTGAGAGTACCCCACTTCCAAAAACTACACCAGTGTTAAAGATTGCAATTGGCTTTGACAATTCTAGAATCAGGTACACTCTTGGTTTCTTTTCTTTGTTTTATTTATTTTATGTGCATTGGTGTTTTCCCTCCTACATGTATGTCTGTATGAAGAGGTCAGATCACTGTGCCAGACTACAGACAGTTGTGAGCTGTCATGTGGGTGCTGGGAATAGACCCCAGTCCTCTGGAAGAGCAGCCAGTGCTCTTAACCACTGAGCCATCTCTCCAGCCCACCCTTGCTTATTTCCTTAAGACTGAATGAGACAGGTTGGCTTTATGGTCATGAAAAGGCTGAAGAAATCAGAAACTGTTGGGCCAGGTTCGCAGAGCCCAGAGACTGACCTAAGGAGTCCACACTCTGATGCAAAAGCAAAAGGTTTCCTTCATTGTTCAAGCTGGCCAGCTTGGATTTCTTTCCATGGCAGAGGAAATGAGGTGCCAACCAGCCCAAAAGAGAAGCTTTTAAAGGGGCAGACCATAAGGTTGAAAGCCACAAATTTCAGGGTTTCCATGGTTACTTAAAGTCATACAAAGTACAGAGTCAAGCAGTAGTAACTATATATTTTAAGCAAGGTACATTTGAGTGAGATAAGACAGGGCATGGGCTTGCAGGGTTAGAGGGTCACAGGGTCTGTCAGTTATCCCCTGGGCCAGGGGACCCTTATGACCAGCAATTAGCAAAGGAATGTTAACAGGAGTGGTGGACAGTTACCTCCCTTCTCTGAGAGCAGGGGCTTAGGCACCAGACATGGCACTCCTGATGTAAGGAGTTAAATATTCCTTTACCTTTAGAAGTTCCCTTTCTCTGTGTAGATTTAGGGCCCATGTTTTTTTTAACTTTTATTTATTTAATTTTTGGTTCCTTAAATAGATTGGCAGCTTCAGAGACTTCTGGGAGAGACTTGGCCATCACTCCTTGTGAGGGTCTAGCTAGTCTAGCTGCAGCTGCCCACAGTGAGTGACTCCATGCTGTAGGCAGGTGGTCTTCCACAGCGGTCCCGTCATAAAGGAAAGCCTCTGATGGGGACGTCCTCTGCATGCTGTGACTATGTGCTTCTCATATTGGTTGATGAGTAAAGCTGTTTTGGCCAATGAACAGGTGGGAATTCCAAACAAAGAGATGGGTGGGCAGACAGAAGGAAGGAAGGAAGGAAGGAGGGAGGGAGGGAGGGAGGGAGGGAGGGAGGGAGGGAGGGAGGGAGGGAGGGAGGGAGGGAGGGAGGGAGGAAGACAGAGAGCAGATACCATGTATCCGCCAGGCAGGCAGGATACAGGATGCCAAGGCATCACTTAGGTGAGCCAAGACCACATGGTGATACAGATGAATAGAAACGGGTGAATAATTAAGAGGCAGCTTGCCAGTAAGAAGCCTAAGCCATTGGCCAAACAATTATAAATATGTATTAAGTCTCTAGTGGTTATTTCATAATGGTGGTGGGGATCCAATGGGAGGAGAGAAACTGTCCAGTAGGACCGAGATGGACAAAGTCCCTCTACAAGCCTTTTGCAAGTTTCTCATTTCTTTGTAAGGCTTAATGGAGATACTCTATGATAACTGTACAATCAGCATGCTGTAATCATTATAAAAATTGTGTGGTATATGTGCAGGAGGTATGTGTGCACGCACACCACACACACACACACACACACACACACACACACTTGAGATTAGAGGCCAGAACCCTAAAGACATCGCACTAAGTGAGACAAGTCTGTCACAGCAGGGTGAGTCCTGCATAATTCTATTTATAGAAGATTCCTAAAGCTGTGCAAATCACAGGAGCAGAAAATGAAGCAGTGATTGCCAGGGGCTGTGGAGGGCAGGAAGTGGGAGCTGCTATTCAAAAGGCATGCAGGGAAAGAGTTCTTGAAACCTGCTGTAAAACGTGCTCATACCATACTATACTCTCAGAAGTGCACTATGGTAGATTTAGTATCAGGTGCTTTTTATCGCAATGAGACAGAGGAGATGAATCAGTTAGTAATGCCCTTGCCATGCAAGCATGAGGACAGCATCCACATTGAAAGCTGGGCACATCAGGGGACACCTATGACCCCACCACTGGGAAGGGGCAGAAGCAAGAGGATCACTGTGTTATGAGTCTCGGGGTGTCCTGAGACGTGATGTCCAGGTTGGACACAGAGTGGCAGTGAAAAAGTATAGCATGCATTTTACAGACTAGGTAAACACACCATTCAAGGGGCCCGAGTGTGTAGTTTCTTAAGTAGCACTATGTGAGGAGGGGGCACTGGCTAACTCCTTGCCAATTGACAAATGAGCTATTATTAATTTTAGATCGCCTGTGTGTGTATACATGGACCATACACAATCTTAAGCATGCACATGAGATGGGAAATAGGTTTGTCCCCCCCACACACACTAACAGGTCACAAGGACAGACTTACCCTCACAGAGCTTGTGTCACACGCTAGCTTAGGTAGGCCTTATTCCTCATGCCAGAAGTTCCCCACCACAAATTACTCATAGGCGTGGAGGCGCTAGGTGTTGTCCTACCTGGGAATGAACAGTTAAGGGTACCTTGGGTCCTGCGCTTGCCTACCTCTCCTGGGACATGCTGGCCTGTGGTGATATCTTGTTTGTACTCTTAATAAAGGAAGCGTGGAAAATGACAGAGGAAGACACTGAGGCTGACCTCTGGCCTCATGCACTGGAACACATACGTACACGCATGTCCGTGAAGCCACCTTTAGACAAGCATCATTTGCTCTTATCTCAGCCTCTTCTGGTTTCTTCTGGGGCTCTGGGTTCTGAACTTACCTTGCAGAGCAGCGCCTGCATGTTCATAGCCCTTGTTTTGCTGGCTGCTATAGTCACAGCAGCCGGTGGAGTTCACGGCTGCCAGATGCATGTGTGCCAAACAAAAGAATCCTGCAAAGGACTGCTCCTCTCCTGGTCTATCAACGGGACCACAGCCTGTAAGTCATTCTCATAGTCTATTGAAGACGGGGTAGTAATGAACTCACTAGACCCAAGATAAATAATACACGGGTGTTTTATTGGGGAACAACTTACGCAGATAACAGTAAATAACCAAAGCGCCATTCCTGCCCCGGAAGAGGAAGTCTCTGCCCTTCCAGTGCCACCCGCTACCCATGAGAGAGAGCCTACCTTCCAGCACCTGAAGCCATGCCCAAAGGGGTGTGGCCACTAACACAAATTCACTGGCAAGAGATGTTACTATAGTCTATATATATTTATGTCCGTGTGTGTGGTCATTCTATTAGTTCTATTATTCCTAAAGAACCCTAATAAGCCTGTCTCGTAGATTTAGATCCCATCAAATTGCCAATCAAATTAATGATCACACGTGGCCATGTTTTTAATTCATCCAGTGGGTGAGAGGGATAAGAGACTAAACGGAGGAGGTGGACTTCCTATACTATGCGCTTGTTGGAGGCTAAGAGCGTGTCACTCTAGTTACCCAACTTCATCTTCAGGACAGCCCTGTAGACTATACAGAGATGGGCAGTAGGGTGACATTAGGCCCTTTTTGGCCCCCTTTCTCTGTTAAGGTGTCCCCTGTATTCTGGGGCCTACTCATAAGGCATGAGGACCAGCAGGTCATAAAAACCAGCAGAGGACAGGGCACAAGATGGGCTAGGCTGTCTGTGACTGCAGGCCATGGATGTGGGGATGGTGTCTTGTTGTGCTGGAGTGATGGGGGCAGTTTCAGATGAGGAAGAAACCTGTTGGGATTGAGAACATGAGCAACACATGGAATGGAACACGTGGTGCCTTTCCAGGGACAGCAGGACATCTGGAGCTGAGGGTATTCAGAGGTTGGGGAGAAAGTAGGACCATACCAAGGGGACCAGGGGGCCAGGACTGGCCGTCAAGGATGTTTTGAGGTTATTGTCGCCAATGGTTCTCAAATCATAAGTCCAAGAGCACCGGGGTTTGAGAATTGAACTATGTAAAACTTGCAGAGCCTAGCCTTATCTCCAAAGGAGAATACCATGAACCCCCCAGGCATTCCCTTTCAGCGTTCTTACTGGGTATCCCCAGTTTCTCCCTTATCCACTAGCATCTAGGTCAAGGATACAAGATGATCTGGCACAGGTTAGACAACATATTTAATCAGCAACATAAAACACAGCATTACATTAAATACAGCATCCGATCGCTCAGGTATATGGGTACCAGTGAAGAGAGGGAGCCCCAATCTGAGGACTCATCTAAACCAGCTCCATTGCCTGGCCTCCTGCCCTAGTGAGGGCCATCTGTAGGCATATCCCTGGCTGCAAGCTCCTGGGTTCCGAGGAGGGGCATGAAACTCTCAGGCCTTATACTGCTTTGCGACCAAGCCTAAGTTTGTTGGGTAGGTGGGGTTTCACAGGTCAAGTGGGTACAGGCACAGCACCTTGACAGATGGTAGAGCTGACCAGATTCAAGTGACTAGTCCTTGTCCCTCGGGATACATGTATAACTGAGCGACCAATGAGGGAGTGGGATAGCTCAAAAGCCAGGCACTGGTTACCCCAAGGGACAAAAGGGAGAGTCTGCAAAATTAGTCAGTTGAGAGGGCTCAGATCACAGCACCTAGAGACGGTAAGAACCAGGCATTTCTCTGGTGCCACTTGCCGGGGAGACAACAGAGTGGAGGGTCAGCCAGGGCAGCTGAGCAGGCTGTAGGAGCACGGGAAGGGGGAGCCTCCGGCCAGATTTCTTCCTGGAACCCAGTGTGGAGGAGGAAGGAGGGGAGCAGCAAAGCGATTATAAGTACAAATATGTCTCGTGCGGGCCTGGGGAGGCAAGGGAGACAGGAGCTGCAGGACCTGGGGAGAGATGAGAAGGCAGGGTCAGAGGTACAGGGGAGGAGCAGGCAGTGGGGCTGCTGGGCGGCTGCTCAGTTGGTTCCGGAGGCCGAGCCTCACGTCTCATACCTGGGCCAGGGCAAACACCAACCCAGTGAAGAGAGCGGGTAAGATGGAAAATCTACGTCTGTACAAGTCACACAGTGACAACTGATCGTGAACCATGGTGACCTGGGGTGCCCCGTGAACACGGTTGTAGCTGGAGCTGCTAAGGTGGTAAAGGAAGACACACGGACACTTCTGGGAAGCTTGTCTCACCCTGGGCTCTCTCTGAGGACAGCTGCCGGGGAGGGGCTGGCACTACCCCTTCCTGACGGAGCCCGGTGCACTCACCGAGTCATGGATAGTCTTCGGACTCCATCAGTTCAAGCAGCATGTCCTCCACGCCTCTGAACTGAGGTGGGGAAGGAGAGAGACAAGAGTAATCAGACCCAGCCCCCAGAACTCCCCTTCCACTCTGGCTAAGCTTTCTTTAGCCTGGGGCAGCACTGGGACCTGAGTGGGAGGGGGGGCTAGCTCTCTCCACTGGTCTCAGTGACTACCACAGAGGACTCCTTGTGCCAAGGAGAGACCTCAGAAGATAGCCTCTTCTATCTCTCTAACCCATTCAAAAAGAAAAACAAATCGGCAGTTAGTTCCCCCTTCCATTAGCTTAGCTTCTGGTGCTAGGATGGAGGGATACAGAGCTAGCCCAGGCCAGCCCCAAGTTGAGAGCAGGACCACTGGAAATGACCCTCCTAGTCCATGGGAGCTGTGCTTGCCTTGATGTGGTACAGTATCTGCCAGAGCATGGAGTCACTGCCACGGTACTTCTTCCCTGGGTACAGTTGCCACATTAAAGGCAGCTCGTATGCCTCCAGCTGCTCAGGGATCATAGCAAGCCCCAAGGGGACGTCTTGCTGGCGCAAGATCACCTGGACTTTTTCATCAGTCTGCAGAGGAAGAACAGAACACACCTTCACCTCCTGCTTACCACTGCCGGGCTCCCCCAGGCACAACCCCCAGTTCCCATCTTATCACTCAGCAGCAGGGGCTGACCCAACGCACAGAACTGACCCTGGTTTCAACTCCACAGGGGGCTCTGACAGGGTCTAGCCATCCTTGGGGGTGCACTTTTTCCTGCCAACCCTCCTGTTGCTAAGCCGCCGAGCCCTCCAACATGGCCCCATAGGTGTGGGGGAAGTTCAGGCACCAAGTGCAGAGAGGATAACCTTAAGGTGCCACGTGTTCGACACCATCCAATTTTTCTTTCACTTCTTTATTTACTTATTTATTTAAGACAAAGTCTCTAGCTGGTGGCGCATGCCTTTAATCCCAGCGCTCAGGAGGGCAGAGACAGGCAGATCTCTGTGAGACAAGAGCTAGTTCCACGACAGCCTCCAAAGCCACAGAGAAACCCTGTCTCAAAACAAAACAAAAAGACAAAGTCTCTTGTTGGCTTGCAGCATGCATGGACATGTGCACGCACGCACGCGCGCGCACACACACACACACACACACGCACACGCACGCGCACGCACACACACACACACACACAAATCTAGTTTGGCTGGTCAGTGAGCATACTCTAGAAATCTGAGCGTATCTGCTTCCCCAGTTCTGGGATGACTAGCAACATCTACAACACTAGGTTTCTAAACTTGAACTCTGGGGATTGAAGTCAAGACCTTATGCTTGCAAGGCAAACACTTTCTTTATTCCAGCCCTGTCGGGGGGGGGGGGGTCTGACTTTGATTTTGTCCAACGCCCTCTTTCAAATGAGGTGTCTGTCTACAGACCCTTGTGGGAACTGTAAACAAAGCACACTGTCTTTTCTATCAGAGGGTTAAATGAGATGAAGCGCCATCTCTAAAGAGGTTGGCACGATACCGCTAGCAAAAAAAAAAAAAAAAAAAATCCCCTTCCAGTCAGCGTATTTCTAAGATCAAAGTCTGGGCTCAAGGTTGTGTCCTATTTTCAAAGTTACACTTTGGTTATGGACTGCACAACTCAAACTTATTCAACTGTGAAGAGGCTGAACTCTTGACCAACCAGAATGGGACTCAGGCCCCCTGTGGCACAGCTCCACAACCTATGAACATACAACTTTCTGTCTCGCTGACATGCTTTGGGTTATATGATCATTTTCTTGAGACACCCCCACACCCATTTCTAACACTGTGGCTCTGGTGACAGGCAGCATTTCCCCATCCCGGACATGGTTCTCCTGGGCCATGGCAACTACTTCTTCACTTACGGTCTTTAGACACCAGGGTGGGGATCTAAAAGTCAGGCCTGCCTCCTCACGCACAGAGTGAGCCCAGGGCCCACAGAAGTCCACAAAGCATACACAGAGCATCTCTGCCTCCCTCTTCTCCCAGTGTTCCCTTCGTCACTTCCGTCTAGCCAGAATGCCTTGTGTGTGTGTGTGTGTTGTGTGTGTGTGTGTGTGTGTGTGTGGAGGGGGGACGTCTTCACTGTCTACAGAAAGCCTCCCCAAATCTACAGAGAGGTCCTTTGAGTCAGTCCTTTGTTCAAATGTATGTCTATAAAGAACAAATATTGCACAAACCAATGTTAGTGTGGAGAACCAGACTTCCAGGTTTATTAATGGAAATGAGTGCAAATTTGTGGTTTTGAAGCGGGGGTCTCAACCTATCACCCCAGCTGGCCTGGAACTTGCTATATAGACCAGGCTGGCCTCACACTCACAGAGATCTAGCCACCAGCCTCTGCCTCCCAGGTGCTGAAATTAAAGGCGTGCGCCACACAGGCACAAATGGGCCAAAGCTTGCGGGAGTCAGCTCTCTTGGATGATGTGGGTACTGGGAACCACACTCAGGCCATCAGTTTGGGTGACAAGCACCTTTACCTTCTTAGCCATCTCACCAGCTCCTGAAAAAGAGTTTTATCTATCAACTTGGGATGAAAATCCCAAACAACAACAACAACAAAAAAAAAATTCACCACCGAAACACACAAAAACCAACAAAACCCTGCAAATCAAATTCTATAGGATACTCCCAGTTAAGATCTAGTGGCCTGCAATGGACTACTCAGTAAGCTGAGGCAGGAGAATCACAAGTTCAAGGCTACAGAGGGAACTCAAGGTCAACCTAAGTAACTAGGGCCAAGTTTCAAAGTTGAAGTTAAGAGCATTGTGCAAATGGCTGGGCTATAGCTCGGCAGTACAGCTCTCTCATCTAATACACACAGGGTCCCAGGTTTCTTCCTCAGCACTACCCAGGTCGGGGGCGGGACGGGGCAGGGAAAAACAAAAGCAATTTGAAACCCCAAACAAAATGACTCAAAAAATATGACATGCAACTACAAACCGACTTCACAACTCACTACAGAACAACTCACTGCCTCCCTTCCCGTCTCCAGTTCCTTTCTCCCACAGGACCCCCCACCAGCCTTGTTGTCCTTGTGGTGGTCACCCAACTCACACTGTACGACCTTCCCAATAATAGGGCTTCTACCGCATTCACTGCAACCCGGCAGCGCAGACCTGTGTTTGGTGTATGCACTAAGCACTCACCTATGTTTGACTCGTGTTTTCCCAGGTGAAAACAGTTTTGTGAAATGTTCTGCCAATGAGATAAATTAGAACTGGTAGCTCGGATCACAGTGGCAGTTGTGTAAGCATGCTAGCATTCAGGACTCCTTAGTCAATAGTCTAACCACTGATACATACATATATATTTTTTTCAATATTCACATATATATCCTTGGCTCTGTCAGTCCTGAGAAGTAAATCCTGTGTTGTAGTTTGTTACAAGGCTCCTGTCCAGACAACACCTACCAGAGCTCTGAAATGCTCTCTGGTTCATGGTTTGGGTGAAAAACATAGTGGCTAACCTGATTATATATATATATATATATATATATATATATATATATATATACCTGATATATATATATACATCTTACATGCTTACAGCGGTGGTGCACGCCTTTAATCCCAGCACGAGGCAGGCGGATCTCTGGGAGTTTGAGGCCAGCCTGCTACAAAGCAGAGTTCTAGGACAGCCAGGACAGTTACACAGAGAAACCCTGTCTTGAAAAACCAAAAAAAAAAAAAAAAAAAAAAAAAAAAAAGAGAAATTTGCACAACTTCATAATAAAAATACCCACCTACGTTTTCTTCACACATTTGACTTTAACCTTAAAAAACTAGATGCATGTAAACTTAATATTGTAAAACGGCAGCAAGAGTGTAAATTTTAGAGCCCAGAATCGTGGTTGCACCACCTACTAGCGGCACCCAACGTCAGTGAGGTTCACAAAACCCGGCTTTCCCGAGTGAAGACAGTCCCTAGTCCCTAACGGCTCTCTAGCTTATCACACTATGTCTCCACAGTTTTAATTCTGCTTTTAAAGCTTTCGTTGGTTTTTACAAGTGGGAGGCATGTCAATAATTTCTGCCGGAAAAGTACTCCTAGAAGAGATTTTTTTTTAAAACATCAACATTCATTAAGACCCATCCGGAGGTTTCCATAAGTGTAACAAAGTTAAATCTTATTACCGATATGGACGCTACTAGATGCCTTAAAGATATTCCAATTTTATGGTTTCGGAAAGCTGTTTCACCCTAAATGATAGTCACACCCCAAGCTAGGTATGAGGGGGCCTTATCCATTGTGCTCAGGGGGTTCCCACCCTCCTTTCCAGGCCTACCAGGCCCAACCCAAAGACTTTCATCTGCGGCCTCCCTAGCCCTTCTGTTTCTGGCACAAGGGACCCTCTGTCCCCTGGTCTCCAGCTACCAGGACTCAAAGTCCCAGGCAGGACACACCCCTGCTGCCCCATCTGCTGGCCCCAAGGCTGTTGGTACCTTGAGGACTATGGGCAGCCAGCTTCGTTTATTCTCATCCAAGTACACGTGCTTCTCCCAGATCCACAGGCGTTGGGGGTCTTGGGGTGTCTCTGTTCTGTACGTCGGCTGTTCGGCCATGGCATACGGTTGGAGCAAGAAGCAAAAAATTTGCAAAGGCAATATCTGATAAAAAAAAAAAAAACTACTCCCTGGTGGTGGGCAACGAGAACCTAGACTATTTATTGCCACCAGGTGTGCGCCTGCGCCCCCTAGAGCGAGATGAGGCGGGACGGGGCGGGGCGAACAGAGTGGGTGGGGCGAACCTCAACGATGGTAGGCAGGGCAACCAGAGGGCTTCTGGGTCTCCGGCAGGCCGCACTGGCTTGCAGACCTGATCCCATCAGACCTAAGGCTTCTTCAAGTCCAGTTAGTTCTGGACTCCTCCGGGTATACCCGGCCACAGCAAAGGTACACCCAAGTCCCGTCTTAGGAGACACTGCCCTCTGCTTTCTCTATGCTGGAATCCCAAGGTCCACGTCAGTTATTGTGTGTGTGTGTGACTGCACAGGCCGCACCCCTATGGCAGGCCACCCGGGGCGAGGTCCGTCTCCACTTCTGGGATCAGAGACCCGAGAGAACATGGCCCACTTCCGGACCCTCCAGGGTTCTCTCTGTCACTTTCAGTCTGTCCTTTGGGGTGTCGGAGGCAATTTCCTTCGCAAAGTTCAGTTCGTGTGCCCTCCCTCTTTCCCACATGACTTTTTCCATGGCTCTGATGAGGCTGTGGTCTTCTAATAGGTCTTGCGAAACAGACTTTTGAAAACACGGGTTTCTCTGTCTTTGTGCTCCGACTTGGTGAACACACCATTCCAGACCAAAGCTTAAAAAGAAATCCTTCCTACACCCCAAGAGTAATGGATTTGGAAAGTCTCTGGGTTGCTCAATCAAAACTGTCTCGTTGTAAACAAATGAGGAAAAATGACTTCCCTTTATTTTACAGTAACACGTGTCCAGTAAATCAATTAAGAAATTAATGAAAAACATGTAAAAACAAGTTCCAGGCCCGTTGCTCAAACAGCCAGCAGTTCTGAGCCTCACCTTCTAGTTCTTTCCTCTCTGAGGATCCACCGAGGAAGCCACTTGTGGTCTTTGGAAGGTCAGTGAGTGATCAAGTGTGGACGTTGGGTCAAATCCCCCGGATATGCCAAGATGGGCTGAGGTCAGCCGGGTACATTCAGATTATCCAGGAAAAGAAACTAAGAAAAGACTCAGGCCTGCAGACCAGTGCAGCTCTTAGTGGTGTTAACGTTTAGTATTCAGGCTGGTGGCTTTTCAGGCTGATTTCCCTATAGATGGCTCTTTGTCCCCAGATCCAGATAGCTGCATAGGAAGGTGACATTTTTGGAATAAGCTTGGTGGGGAAGTTCTGGGTGAGTGCAGATAATGAGCCTAGTGTATTTAGTTATTTTAATTCACTATTATTGTGTTTGTATTGGGGAGCACATGCGGGGTCGGAGAAGGGCATTGTGGAGTCAGTTGTCGCCTTCCACCATGTAGGTCCCTGGGATTGAACACAGCCTGTCAGGCTTGGTGGCAAACACCTTCACCTACTGAGCCTTCTCACTGGCCCACAAGTCCAGTTCTAATAGTACTGCTGGCACGGCTTTTGTGGCAAGGGGGTATCGTCTCCCCAGGAGCCAGGGTGGCTGGTTCTTGGCACAGGCATGGCCTGGGAATGTCACTGAATTGTTGCTTTCATTCCTGTACTCTACTTTCCTGGGAGGTGCTGGGGAAAACAGTGTGTCCCGTTGTGAGGTGACCATTCTAGGAATGTTTCCCTTTCTCCTCACTCTAGAATACTTCTGGAAGTTTGTATGGTTTGTTTTGTTTGTTTGTGTGTTTAATATTGAGCAATGGTAGACTCCGTTCTTGCTAGCTATTTCAGAAAGAAATGAAAGAGTGATGGGGATGGATGAGAGGCCAGTTTGATACCTTTTTTCATGCAAATTCCACAACCCAGGAGCGGGGCCAGTAGCTATTGTATGGTCTCAAGCCGAAAGCCTCCAGGCCAGTTAGTTATCTTCACAATCTCAGTGTGCTGGCCCCTTGCCTGGCAGACAGCTTTAGACTTCTCTGTTCCCTTTTGAATCTTTCTTTCCTTCCTCACGAAGCAGCCATCCTGCAAGGCCCCTGAACTGATGTTGCCTTTGTGTCCTGCCTCAGGTCTCATTTCCACGGACTGCAGTCACTTGTGAACTTGGTCAGTCCTTTGCCGGCTTGGCCTCAGTGCTCCCTTTCTGCAATGGATGATCAGAGCAAGCTGTGTTCTAAGCATGTCACAGGATCCACCAATAAGGTTGCTTCACGGTGGAGAAGGGCATGCCTGAGAGCCCCAAGCCCCTGAGGTCAGCTCAGGAAAACCTGTAGTTTTGAGTCAAGCCTCCTTGTCTGGATGTCCAAGTGTGGGTAGTGGCCAGAAGGAGGGCCGGTTCTAGAGTCTCGGACCACAAGTGTGGTTCTTAGGGCTAACCACAGCTGCACCATCTGGAGCTTGTAAAGAATGTGGATTGGGAACCCACTTAGGCCTCTGGAGTAAGACAGCATTGGGACAAGAACCCCTGGTGATTCCTGGGAGGAGGGGGGAGGGTTGTTTCAGAATTGCAAGATGCCCATAGTCCCAAGTTCTCTGCATGTCCCTGTGACTCAAGAGTTAGGTACAGGTGCCTGTGACATTTAGTTCTCTTGTTTAGGGTCGAACTCATTTCTTACATATAAGGTGTTTTTTCTTATAGGAATATTGTGGCAATCAAGTCCGCTGTATAACCAACCATCACCATCGATGCCTCAGCCTATAAAGAGGCTAACTAGAAGCTACTCAGGTATCCAGGCCTCTGGACCCTACACTTGACCTGCCCGGTGTTTCTCAACCATCCCAACACTGCGACCCTTGTTACAGTTCCTCATGTGGTGACCCCCAACCATAATATTATTTTCTTTGCTACTTTGTAACTGTAATTTTGCTACTGTTATGAATGGCAAGTATCTGGTATGCAGAATGTATTTTCATTGTTACAAATTGACCCAAAGCGGTCGCCACCCACAGGCTGAGAAGCACTACACTAGACCAAGCATATGGGATCCAGGGAGACTGAGGCTTGAGTAGAAACTGTCAGTCCTCTCTCTGTTTAAAGGACAATTGGGGCGATTCAACAGAGAGGACTACTCCTCTAGGATCTGAGCCAGTTTTGAGGTGTGAACAGATTAATAAAACTAAGTAACTACGAAAATGTCAAAGCTATTCTTTTGATGGTCACACACACCTCATTGTAGACCTCACTCCGGCTCTGTATTTTACTCCTTCCCCTTTGCCCCACTTCAGGTTTGCTGCTTCCAATCTGATCTTTTATGGACAGGGAGCCGTACATAACACATCAGGCTTACTGAATTGTAAAGGTCTGAGATCTTGCCAGGGTATAAAACACAGAAACCCCAGTGTGTAGGTGTGTACAGGATCCTTGCTTGTGCCTGGGGTAGGGTGAGATAATGAAAACTGTTGATCTGGTGAGTTCAGGGTGTAGCTATTTTATCAGAGGGGTTGAAATTTCGTCTCTAGATTATTGGACGGGCTGGGATGAAGATGTCCCAGATAGAGTCAGGCACTGCATTTTGTCCACTAAGCAACTGTCTATTTGAATTTAAAGAGTTTTCTGGAAGTTTTATTGAGGAACCATCAGTGCATGGAGAGATCTTGTTAAAATGTAGATCCTAATTTGAGTTAGAGTTGGAATTAAGTCTACTTAATTCTAAATTAAGTAGAATTAGGGTGGGCCTTAAGAGTCTGCATTTTTTTTTCTGGTTTTATGAGACAGGGTTTCTCTGTTTTGGAGGCTGTCGGTCCAGCCTGGCCTCGAACTCACAGAGATCCGCCTGCCTCTGCCTCCCGAGTGCTGGGATTAAAGGCGTGCGCCACCACCGCCCGGCAAGAGTCTGCATTTTTTAAAATTATTTTTTCAAAGTATGGGTATTTTACCTGCATGTTTGGCATCAAATGTGTGCCTGGTGCCCACAGAGAAGGGTGACAAGCCCCCTGGAACTGGAGTTACAGATGTTTGTGAGCTACCACATAGGTGTTGAGAATCAAATCCAGCTCTTCTGCAAGGGCAGAGATTTCTTGAGCTAGATTTGTGATTTCAGTGTTATTTCCTATGGAATTCTAGTCAGTTACATGGGGTGGGACTTATTTTGATATCTGAGGTATGTGAATGTATTATCCCATGTACATTAGGGAGCAACCTAGTTGGGAGTCATATTTTCTCCAGTCTTTTCAGGTCAAGAATTCTTCTACCAAAAGTCCTTAAACATCAGATTTCTGTGGGTCTCTTTCTGAGCTCTATCTGTGCTATCTGTTTCTATGATAAAATCACACTTCTAAAATAATTTATGAATGTGAAATACCAGGGAGACCCTGCCCTTTTCATTTTTTTAAAATTATTTTAACTGCCTATGGAGATTTGCATCTTTACATTTTTTTTCTTAGTCTTTGGGGGGAGTTTATCAACATCTTACTGAAAGGAGACACCAGGCAGAAACTAGCCTTTATTGGGATTTTATAATATCTTCCTGAAAGTATTATTGTATTTTTGTTTGACATAGTTCTGTTATTTTATAGTTTTACTCACATTAGTGTAAAGCTGTGTATACCCATGTGTGCACATATAGAGACTAGAGTTGGATATCCGCTGTCTTCCTCTGTTCTCTCTGTGTTGCCTTAAGACAGGCTCTCTCATGTTGGGGCCTAGCCCACAGGGTCTCTGAGTTGTTTGTCAGCTGATAGCCACAAGTGCATCCTGTTTTCTAGTCCTAGCCTACTGCCCCCGCAATGTCCCACTGACATCAACATCTAGCACGAGGAAAACACTGCTCTCTTCCACCTGGGTTTTTTCTACTGTGTTGTAAGACTATATACAAGACTGCTCCCTCCTACAAGAGAGAGACCTATTAGCACTTGCAAAATAAAGACACTTCTTAGTACAAACAGCTGGACATGTGGTCTTTCTTTTCCTGATATCTCGGAGTTGCAGGCACCACACTGTCACTGAGCAGGAAGATCGCCATTTGAACTAAGCTAGCTGACCAGCAAGCTGTCAGGATCCTCCTGTGTCCACCTCTTAATGCTGGGATAATGTGCATGGGCAGCTATGCCTGGCTTTTTACAGGAGTGCTAGAAATTCGAACTCAGGTCTTATACTTGTATTTTTAATTCTAGTTTCTGACATGATGAACTAATATTGAATTTTGGTGGTATTCCTGTCCTTAGCATCCCTTTTAGATGCTTGCATTCATTTTAATGGTTGGTTTATCTGTAACAGTTTTCTTCCCCTGTCCTTATGTATCTATCTGTCTTTGTCACTCCTTCTCTCAGTATCTAGCTCTGTCTTTTTGTCTCATTGGCCTTTGCTGTTTGCTAGGGTCCTTCACATAGCAGGGGTCAGTGTTGGGATCATCTGTCTTTAGTAGGAATGCTGCTGGGGCATGATGGCCCTGGCATGCAATCCTCACACCCAGGGAGGATGAGGGAAGAGGACGGCAAGTTCCGGTCAAGCCTTCGGACACACAGTGAGCCCTTGTTTCAACATGAGTGAAGAATAAGGTAACATGACAGTAAATATAAAGAGCACTTCTGAAAATTAACCAGTAAGCACAATGCTAGACATAAGTTTGAGCAGATAACACATGATTAGACTAAAGAATACCCTTACTTCTAGGTTCCCACGTCCCTTTTTTCTGTTCTTTCCCCCATGAATTTGTGTTGCATTTTCTCGGTCTTTTCTGCATCTGTTAAATCAATCCCTAGTCACAGGACACAGGGGTTTCAGGTTGCCCACCCAGCCCTCAATGCCTGGTCTTGTCACAGAGCCCTCATTCTTTGGGAGGGCATGGTGAATGTTCCATGTCCAACTTCTTTATATACCTGAGAATGGGGGGGTGACTCTTCTAGAATGCCTGATAAACCTGGTCTGTGTAAGGCAGCTCTTGCTGGGGGTAGCTGCAGGCATTTTTGACAGATCCAATGGGACAGGTATTCTGGCACTCGGGAGTCACAGAATACTGAGTGTTACACAGCTCAGAGGGGAAGGTATCCTCGAGCTCGGGAGCCAAAGACAAGCCACAGTAAGCATAGCAGCTTACAGCCCCTGCTTCAGGGAAAGGCTTCCCTAGTCTATCAGCTCTGTTCTGGCAGGAGAGGGTTTCCCAGCTGCGGATGTTTGCCCAATGTAGCAGTTTTGCTCCGGCAGGAAAAGGTTTCATGGGTGAAGTTGCTACAGTTTAGCTCCGCTGCTGGAGAGCAGAGTGTAACAACTCTCGGCCTCTGCTCGGCCAAGGGAAGGTTTCCCCTGCAAAAGTGTTACAGCCCCACTCGTTCCACTCTGCTGCAAAAGAAGAAAGAAGATCTTCACTTAAAGCTCATCAAAGGGGTTTATTGGGAGGGAAGAATCCAGGAGTGGCACCAACAGCCACAAACAGATGCAGGGTTTATATAGGGCTTACAGAGTGGCGATTGGTCAGATTTTAATCTCCTGCTCAGGGATTGGCTAGTTTTTTTTTTGTTTGCTTGTTTTTTGTTTTTGTTTTTGTTGTTTGTTTGTTTTTGCACAGGGTTAGGGTCAAATTTGACTCTGGCTTTAGGGACAAAGTGTGTTTCTTTCACTGGTCCTTTTTAGCCTTTTGGCTCTAATTTTAGGGCCAGGGTGTATTTCTTTCACTGACTCTGATACCAGGGGCAAAGTGTGTTTCTTTGGCACTGGTTTCAGGGTCAGGGTACATTTCTTTGGTTCTGGTTGCAAGGCCAAAGTGTGCTTCTTTGGCTCAGCTCAGGGTGTGTTTCTTTGGCTGGACCTTTTTCCCTACAGTAACTATGCACCTGTTCTAGCTTATGAGATCCAAGATGGCTTTTCTTTAGAGCTCTTCCTCTAATTTCTTCATTTTTCTCTTTTGCAAGTCTCTCCTGCACACCTTAGGTTTTGTCCTTCTTTATCTTATAGCCCGTGCATCCCAGGAGACTTTCTTACAGTGACTTTTCAGTTGCTACTTGACTTATCATACCCAACAAAGTTTTCATTGCAGGAGTTATATTTTTATCTTCACAGTTCATTCATGGGGATGATCAAGAAAAGAACACAGTTTAAAACCCATTGGGAGGAAAACATAAAACTACTTCTATGACCATGGAGAAGTACATTTTTAAAAAGCTGCTCAGTGGTGGAGCACACCTTTCATCCCACCACTTGGGAGGCAGAGGTAGGTATATCTCTATGAGTTCGAGGCTGAGAGTGAATTCCAGGACAGCTAGGGCTGTTACACAGAAAAACCCTGTCTCAAAAAACTCAGGCCAATAATATGGCCCCTTCTTTCCATCCAAGGAAGTATTTCTGACTTGTGCGGTATAATGATTTTAAGGCAATTAAAGAAGAATTCCAATGCAACGTCAGGATATGGAGAGAAGCAGCCATTTCGTGATTCTCATGGAACCGTTTCATTTTCTGAGTCTCAGTCTGCAGGCTGAAAAAAAAAATGACTTCACCTTCAGAGAGCTGTGAAAACAAACTATGATGGTTGCCATAAAAATGCTGGATTAAAAAACAGGTTCCAGGTGCAGTTGAATAATCCATGAATAATGGTTGTATTATAATTTAGGCTTAGCTATAGACAAGCCTTTCCTGGACCCCCTCCATTCCTGTGGATGACAAGGATAATTATACAAACAGACAGCAGGCTTCCTGTCCCCAGGTGAGAGCCACTGTTAATCAGCACAAAAGCTGAGGGCATCAGTGCTGGTCTTTGTCCGTTATTAATTTCATTCCCCTCGGTTACTTTGTACTCTGTCTGGCGATAAAACAGCCCTTTGATTTGGACAAGATGCGAGCTCACAGTGGGTTCGTGAGTCCTCTGATGCTGAGAGTGCTTGCTTCATCAGACTCTGCCAGCTTGTTCCCTCCCACAGGAATCTTTTAGACGCATTACCTGGGAGTTGCAGGAATCTAGGGGAGGAAGAGAGAGAAAAGGTGAAGTCAGAGAGCCTCTTGCCAAGCCCACTGACTGCTGCTTGAGGTTTTTGCCAGCTCTGTCTTTGCGATCTTTTAGTAGCTTAAAATCTGTCTAAATAAGGCTGGTTTGTTTTGTCTAAATTCTCTTCCGGTCTTTAAACTCTCTTTATCACCATGACATCACAGCGAGATCTTTTAGGTTGTGAATCTGGCCGGTCATTGCCCTGAGGATAAGTCACAGAGTGGGTTATGTAAGTCTGAATGA